TTCCCTTAGGTGGGGTGCAAAATTACATTAGCAACAGCAGAAGGACCAGCATCATATCAGAACAGGGCGGGGAGATCTCTTTAGCACTGGCTTCACTAGCAGAAGCAAGTTACTCTGATCACCATTCACACACCAGGATGGCAGGAAGCACTATGGGATATGTTCAGGGCTTTTGATTCTCTATCAGGTCCTTTTCAATAGAAGTGTTTATCACCATCACTATTCCCTCAGTGAACTCAAGCCCTGGAAACATGCAGGAGCATCTAGGAATGTCTGCCAGGAAAAAGGGGTTTACAACAAATTTAGTTTATTTTTCATTTCTATTTTTTTTCTCTTGGCACTCTGTAGACCTGTTTGAGACATTCCTGACAGATGTATAAAGCCTGACATGAAGACCTTATGACTGTATAACATGTCCAGTCATCGAGACCATGTAAGCACCAGCACACATCTTTTCTCATGCTCAGGCTCCAAAAATTGCCTGCTCCAATATTTTTATGTGCCCAGACTCAAATACATGTGCAGCATAGTGGTTCCTACATGACCCATAACCAAGACTCCTGGGGCACTAAAATCAAGTGAAGTTAGAAACTTTGGCGCTTCCACCTCTGAAAAAACTTTCTCATGGTTGATCCAAAAGAACTTGTTCGTGGTTGATCTTAAAGAATGAGAACAAAACCAGAAACGGCATTTAATTTTCTTACCTTTTATATAAAATAGACATTTACATACATTTTCTTTTGCAAAGACTTGGAGCATAACTCCTTTATGTGAAATCTAGCCATAAATCCCACAGTGAAAAAAGCAAAGACTTCGCAAATCCGTGTGTCGCTGACGTACATCCAGCTGCTGCTAAGTGTGTGTTTATTTTTAAAAGATTTCTAATCCATGGGCTGTTTTCTTGTAGTTTTGTTTCTTTTAAAAAAGATATGCACAACTGATTAAAAAAAATAGATACAGAAATAAGAACCGTATGAACAACAGGCAATGCAAACAGCTCCTGCATGAGAAGAACACACAGCGTGACACTCACTTCAGGCAGAGGTTTCTACAGTAACACAGTTGCAGGAAGCCATAACTTTTACAGAGGATACTGCTGCAGGGATTTTCCAGAAGAAAAAGTTTCCAGCAAGTCAGTACAAACATGGCAATGAACTTTAGCACAAAGTTATCAAGGTTACCTGAAGCAACTTTGCCACATTAAAACACTAATGAATGCCAAGCATGTTTTTTTTTGTTTTGTTCTGGTTTTGGGCTTTTTTTTTTTTGCTTTTTTTTCCCCTTTGCTGCTGGGTTTAAATGTACATGAAAGCAAAATGGTGCATTTCAAAATTGCTGCAAGAGACTGAAGGTTGGGGAAAAAAACCCTCTAAGTGCTGTTTTTTCCCAAAGATTGTGCATAATTGAATACATGAAAGATAGAAATTGAGCACTTGGCCAACTTAATCACAAATAGATTTAGGAAACTTGAGCATTCATCAACTATTTCACTGAGTTGGAGGACAAGTGGGGCGAATGACTATATTCTAAGTTGCCTAATCATTAAATTAGAATGACAATTATCTTCCTTCACCAAATACTGTATATCGCATCTGGCCTGGTTTCTTGCACAGTTTTTAGTTCATTTTAGGGTCACATCTTGCCTCCCCTGCAAGTTTGGCTCTTTATTTCAGATTTTTTAAACTTCTTTTCCACCCATATGCATGCACAGTCCCCTGTCCTCATCGAGATCTCTGGAATGAAGGCCATTTGCACTGCTGCATTCACTTACTGTTTGGCCAAAACAAATTACCTGCACAATTGTAGGAAAATCTAGTCCAAGGAGTCTATGAGAGGGAGAAAGTGCTCCCCACTGCATCCATTTATCCTGGACAATAGAAAAGGGATGGAAACAAAGAATGCTGGAATTTAAATAAGCAATAAAATAAAACAAAACCCATCAGCTGCAAATATTATTCATGGAGAAAGGAAAAAGCAACACAATTATTATATTTCTCATTTAGGATTAAAATGCACAGTGGGTACATGAGGGTCCTGTCTAACCAGCTTTCCATTAATTCTCCACTTTCAGATTGGTGAGCACTGAGGTTTAGCCAATGCAACTTGCAGAGAGCATGAACTCTCCCCCACCAGGCAGAGCTTCAGCCATTTATTAATTTGCAATTGCTGCTAACCATGCTGTGCGTTGGAGTTGGCAGAAAACAATGTATTTCTAACTCATTATTTTTGAAGCTGTGCAATGCTAGAGGAAGAGGACATTTCCTATGATTAATTAAGATAATATACAGTCTATCACAAGGTAAGTTGCTCGATTTATCTTCCACAATAGCATTCCACTTCGGTGGAGGTAACCCATTTCATATCATACTCCATTCTTCGCCTGCAATAAACCTTTCACATGATTAATGCCCTGAACAAACACAGTGTTTCAGCATGGGCACCAACAAGACAACGAGTCAGCTCAGAACTTCACAAGGGTTTAACTGCTTTGGTAGCTCATGGTCTGAGCTGTTCTCCAAATATGCTGCCAGTTTGTAGACTGTCATCCTGCATAGATGGGGTATAAAGCACTGGTTCAGGAATGCAGCACTCATTCCTGAGCCCTTCTATCTCCCTAACTCCCATAAACCCAGCTCCAAAATGTGGAGAGTCGGCATATAAATGTAAACTGGTTCAACTGGGATTAGAATCTATGGATATGTTACCTGCCTAATTCAGGCAAGTGGATGTACATATGCTATGCCTTCCAACCAAACCACCTCCCTTTCTCCATTATTCTGCAAGTAAGACAGTGTTGCACAAATGGTATTCCTTCTCCAAGATCTGGAAGGGGAGCACCCAAAGCTATATTATACTTCTACACATGCACCGGTTTTAGGAGGTCAGGATGGCTTTGATCAGGTTCTAGGACAAGAATGAGACAATAATTTCTACCAGGTCTCAGGAAAGACAAATTGAGATTTAAGATGAAGTTAAAAACATAAAACCAAGTCATCCCCCCCGCCACAAAGCATTGCTATAAAAAATACAACTTCTTCTGTAGTTGAAAAAATATGTTTCATTGGCCATAATTTAAAGCCACACTGCAGCGAGGCTTGTAGAATATATAGCATTTATTTAATATATCTTTATGAGGCAAAGTTTATAGTTGATACACATTTTTAAAGGAGATGCATCTCCCCCTCACCCTGCCCCCCATGCTTCAGCTAGCTGTCGGAGCACTCTGCAGACGTCTCCTCCACAGGAGTACTCCTTGCACAGTACTGCTGTTGTGGGCTGTACCAAACACTGCTCTGCCAGCCCCCAAACTCTACACAGCACCATAGGCAGCCAGCCAGCCTGGGCACATGGGGAAGCTGCCCTGAAGGCAGGCTCCCCTTGGGGATAGGCAGAGAGCTTTGTGGTCCAGGTATCTCTGAATATCCCAGTAATGAACCATCTACAACTTTTCAATGCATGATGTGGAACTGATTTATCTCAGAAGCCATTTAAGCTTTGGTTTGCCCATCCCATGGGGCTCTGCTGGCATGACCCCATCTCCTCCTGGCCATACTGGCAGCACCAGGGCTGTGCAAATCTACTCTGCAGATGGCATCCAGAAGAGTGCCTGCACTGGGGACCTGCAGAAATGTCAGTTCAGCAAGTCCACAGCCACAAAAGTTGTGAGACAACACAAGGGAGGGTTGGTGACCCAGCCCCAGGAGCTCAAACCTACCGTTGGCTGTGGAAAGCAAAGTAGGCTGTTTGGGCTGGGGGCAGAGGAGAAAATTCACCAGCAAAAGACTTGCTTGTCTGGTCCAGCTGCTCCCTTGGGAAGCTGGTTTGAAGGGAGAGTGTGTTACCCCCTCTTCCCCTCAGTGATGTCTCTCTCCCACCTCTGCTCATCTGTAAGCACTAGCCAGTCTCCTTGGCCAGTGGGGACCAGTACCTCCCAAGTCCAGCCAGGTCTTGGTGGGTGCACAACCATGGCTCTAGCGGGTCCACAAGCCCTGGCAGGGCAAACAATTGCACCTCAGCTCCAAATGCAGTTGGGGTCACATCAATAATTTGTCAGTAATTTGACCACCAGTAGCAGCTAGATGCCAAGCTTTTAAAATGAAATCAGCAACGCCACCAGCACATGGCTGTCCCATCACACTGAGTGAATTTGGAGCTTGCTGAGGTGGTTGGTCAGCACCAACTATATCTGAGCACCAGATGGGTGCCTGCCACACAGGCTTTTCCTGACAGATGTGTTTTAAGGCATTGCATACCTAATCTGAACTGTCCTTTACTAAAAATGCTAAACCCTAGGCTGGTCTTCTGCAGGGACAGGCCACAGTTAAGCTCAAATAAAACAATTTTTACAGCAGTTTCCTGCTGCAAGAGGAACAAACCGATGACTTGCCCTGATGTCCAAACCCAAAGGCGTCAAACACAATCCCATTAATGCTCTCTGTGAATTGGTCCAAACCCTGGTGAAAGCAGCAGAACTGCTGTTACTGCAGGGACAGTGTGGTTCAATGTGCTCTGCAGCCATTTGCCCTAGAATCATTAGAGGGAATTATTCAAGCACACCTTGGTGGCACTGCATTTTTCTAACTTCAGACAATACAAGTCACAACGCCCCGTTACGTGGCCAGCTGCGAAAGATATTGCCCAATTCGTATAAAACAGAGACTATATATTAATTATTTGATTATTATAAGTTAAATAAATAAAGCTCAAAAATAAAAGCCCCAGTTCTGAAGAGAATTTGTTTTCCCACTTCGGTATTTAAAAAATATATATTTATGACTGTTCAACTGTAGGTCATTTTCTGTATCTCTTGGGGGAGGGGGTGAGAACACTTTGACAAAGTGTTTTGTCAGTGTTATCACGATGATAATAGGGCTTTGTCCCTGCACACCCATAAAAGAGCCTCCTTAGTACCTTTCTAGGCCAGGAAATATTCCCTAATCTCTCTGTGGCTTTACTTTACCTTCTATATTGATCAGATAGATTGTTTGTTTTTCATACCAGGGACTGAGCAGGAGGACAAGTAATCCTAGAGCTTCCCATTGCCTTTGGATGTTTCAGGCTTTTTCAGAGTAATAATTATTTGGCCTGGAGGGAGAGGGCAAAGGGTAAAGCCACATGATATTTGACAAAACTGACATCATGAACCTGACTTACTACAAAATTACTATCTAATGAGTAAAACATTCAGGTTAAGTTTTCCCTCAAAGGATCATTTGTCCTACTTGTAGAATCATCCTTCCAGGGCAATATTTAGATAGTTTTCCCTTTCTTTAGAATAATTTTCAAGTCACATTTAGAGCTGTAAAAGTTGCCACCATTTCCTCAGCATTAACCCCTTGAAACCTTTTCATGTGACCATAATGACCATTTTTCCTGTCTGCAGCAAGACCTGGACAGCACTTGCAATGAAGCCCATCAGGAATACTCTACATGGATGAGGTGAGCCCGTGTTGAGTAACAGGAGGTGCTACTTCACCCCTGCTGCAATGGATGAGTGCTGCATCTCCATGGTTTCCCCAGTGATAACCAAGATGTTGAAGGTACATCTCCCATCCACACTCCTGGTGTGATTAAAATGGGTTCAGCCTAAACATAAATCTTGATTAAAGGAAGGTTTTCATTCATTCTCCAGCATGTCCCACAGGAGCTGAATGTCTCCTGTGACTTTGGTCAAACATAAGCATGCATTCGAAATTTGCCTTCTTTAATTCTGAGTCCTATCAGAGTTCCTTCAGTATCACTTTGAGCAACAGACTTCCATCACACTCTTCTCCAAGGGGCATAAGTGTCTTTCCACTGGTGACTGAATGCTATGCTTGGTCTTTCTCCTGGACTTCCTGAAACCGTTTCTCCAAGCGATCCAGTTTGGCCAGATTCTCCTTCAGCAACTTGCTGTTTGGAACCAGCTGTAAGGCTTTCTCATAGTAGTCCCGGGCAGTGACGTAGCTCCCCTGCAAACAAAATGGGTGGCAGATCTCATTCACATGCCCTGACATAGAAAGTTCATTCCTAAGGAAAGGTGAAGACTATAACACAGGGGAAACAGAGCTCATGAAACTTTACATTGTTAAGTTATGAGAATACATCTTCATTATGAAATAGATCACTGAGTGCCATTAGCCTAAATTTGATGAAACACACAAGGCAAGAAGTAGATATACATTTTTCTGTTATGTTGCATCAGAAGAGTTTTACTCAGCAACAGGACAGCTTAAGGACATCACACAATGTGACTCCTTAAGACCAAAATCATAATGATATGCTAAAGTATTCAAAAAAATAAGCAACCACAGGGCAGACTGTCTATTTCCATAATTTCATGCCAGTATTCTGCATTAGACATCTTTATTAAATTAGTTAGGTAGAGAGAAATCTTAAAAGTCAGCTCATGGTGACATTTTTCTAAGGTAGGTCAACGACTGAAGCAGGAAAGCTTTAGAGTTGGGCAGGTTGTTCCTTGCAGCATGCCCTCTTAAAATACAAGATTTACATTCCAAGATACATATTACCAAGTAACCTGGTTACAAAATTGTAGTTGGGGTGGAGAGACTTTCCTTCTTTTTGGATAAAATATGTTGGGAACACTTGCTGTTCACAAACATGCAATTCTTGGCAGTTTGAAACCAATTTAGCTTTCTGTCCTGAGTAGTAGTCTCTGCACTTGATAGCTTAAGGAAAAGCAAAATTGTCATACCTTGATGTGCTCGATGCCTCCCATATTCATCCAGGCCTGTGCTTGGTCTGGGTTCAGCTCCACAGCCCGCTTATAGCTCTACATAAACATGAAACATTTTTAGGTTAAGAGTCTTCAAACAAAACTAGTGCTGGAGGGGAAGGAGAAACAGTTTCCTCGCCTGAAGCCATTTAAAATGTAATTTCAAATTCTTCTCATATACAATGCACAAACGGAATTTCATTTTCTTTACAGCAGGGGCAATATAATATACTGCTTCATGGCTGAGTTTGTCTCACAGGTTTCTCCTGCTGACAGCACTGTACAAGGAGCCACCCCTGTGATCCCCTCCCTGCCCCCTGCACCACTGGGGTCTCCTGCACATCAGGGTCATTTCCTTGGGCAATGCCAACCACAGCCATATGGTTTCTCTTTATCTGAATGGCTTTGATTTGGAGCTGGCAGCAGACTTCAGTACAGACACTTATGTGGAGGTTTCACAAGGACCTGAAGGCAGTGCTTTCCCTCCCCACTGCTTCTGCCACTCTGCATAGGAGAAGGAGCAATAAAGACCTTCTGGACTCTGTCAAACAGAATGATTTTACAGTGTTACAACAGGAAGAGATTCAAATCAGGATTAAATATCTCTAGAGGTATTGAGAACATTCAAAACTGTCACAATAATGTTATCTGGGTTGGAAGCGACCCTAAAGATCATATTGTTCCAATTCCCCTGCCATTGTCAGGGACACCTTCCACTAGACCAGGTTGCTTCTGTATGATTATTTAATACTAACATAATTTCTGAGCTATCAAGCTCCACAGAATAAGCCAATCTCTCAGCTAATAGTTACTGAGGTAAAATATAACAACATGGTGAGCTCTCACAGGTGCTCAAGCTTTCACTTAAGCCACCTGGAGTTGGCCATTGACAGCAAGAAGGGCTGGGGCTCAATGGGACAAGGGTCTAGTCAATTAAAGAAGGCCTAGGCTCCTCCATAATCCCACCACAAATCTGTGCTTCACCTCTCAGAGCAGGGAGCTGGATTTCCAGACAGGAATGAGGAAAAAAGTTGCAATTAAATCTAGTAAAGTTAGCTGCCCTATAGCTTCCTCTGTACTACCTGAGGAACTCTGAGCCCCTAAGTCCAGCAGCCAGGGTATATGCACCAGGGAGTATTAAATGCAATGAGCCAACTCTATCACGTAACCTATAAAACTAACCATAGGTCTTAGAGCAGTCATACCTCGAAAGCCTGGTCAAGGAGATTCTGTTCTCTTAGCTGGTTTCCTTTAGTGAAAAAGAGCTCTGATATGACTTTTGGATCCTTTGGTTTTAGCTGAAGTGCTTTTTCTATAGCTTCAAGCGCCTGTGAAAAAGCAAGAGGACATTATGTTACCATATTCAGTGCCTTCCCCCTTCTCATGCTCTCCTCACCATTAAGGACTCTCAGCCCAACAGTCATCTTCCTCCTTCCCTTGTTTGCCCCACATCATTAACACATGGAAATGAGTTTTTTAGATGCCTGGGGCTGATGGGCAGTGGGGCTGACAGCAGTAGGAGCAGTAAGTGATAAGAAAACCACACTGCTTAGCTTCAGTCTCATCAGTACCCAGATAAAAAGAAGGGTTTAGTGAAAAAATAATCTACTGGATGTATGCTAAAGCATGTGACATGCCTCTGGAGAGATAGAGTGCAAAATTCAGCCTCAGCTCTGAGTGTGAGCCCGTGGGTCAAGGGTACCCCATGGCCATAGTACCTTGGCATAGTGCTCCTGCTTGCTGTAGATGGCTGACAGAAGGCGGTAGCACTCCAGACACTCTGCATCCTCATTAAGTATATGGTTTGTCATCTTTTCAGCTTCTTTTGTCCTCCCCATCATTGCTAAAACCTGTGCCTACAGAGACACATTATAAAGGGTTATGATCTTAAAAGGCTCAACCCTCTGTAATACATGATGCTGCACCCAGTGACTGATGCTCCACTTTTGTGCCCTGGCTGAGCTTGCCCCGCACTCACCAGTGCCAGTCGGATCTCTTTGTTTGAAGGCTGCAGTGATGCTGCTTCCCTGTAAACCTGCAATGCTTCCTCATAGCGTCCTGTGTTGTAATACAGAGCCCCGAGAGGGGACAGGATTTCAGCCTTCTGGGATACCTTCAGTGCCCTGAATTTGGGGAAAAGAGATGCTTCCAGTTGGCATGGGGATTGAAGGGAAGAGTCAGGTGTGGCTTGTGCTGGGATGGAGCAGCAAAGCTCTGCACCCTGCTCATCCCCAACCTGGGAAGCATAAAGTTAAGGTCCCAGGGAGGGATGACTGTGCTTACAGCAGCAATCCCCCTGGCCACCTGAGAAGAGGAAAGGGCCATTTCCAAAGTACACATGAGCATGCAGCAGGAGGGGATGGCTGACAGTGATGGAACCTGGGGAGTGTCAGCCCAAAAAAGAGGCAAAAAGACCCCACCCAGTCCACCTCACTGTGTACTGGGAGTCAGAGCCTACCTGTTGGCACATAGCTGGAAAGGGACAGAGTTCCTGATAGTGCCAAGGGTTTGGTGCTGGGCTGTGCAGAAGTTATGACTGTTACTGGTGCAACACCCATAGACCAGCTTCAAGCAGGGTGGGAGTTGTGCTAACAACCTGCTAATGCCACTGAGAAACCTCTGACTATTGTTAAAACATCCCCCAGCCAGAAGCTGCAGTGCCCATCCTGGGGACTTGGGAAAGGCCCAGGGAAGTCAACACTGCCTGAGTCTGTGCTGCATCTCCAAGCACGCCCCAAAAATAGCCAAATCTAGTTTCAGATGGAGAATGAAGGGAGGAAATCCCAAACATGCTCTGAAAGATTTGTGTATAAAGCTCTTTAGTAGAGACAAGTGGTACAGGGGGAGGAGGAAAACCTCTGTCCAAAAATCCTTACCGCTTGTACCACACTTCTGCCTCTTTGCTCTGCCCCAGGGAGCGGTGAAGCCTGCCCAGGTTCACCATGGCCACGTGGTGAGCAGGGCTCAGGTGGATGGCCTGCCTGTAGTGGGACATGGCTTGCTCAGGAGACCCTGCAGAAGAAAATAGCTATTAAACTGGTGCATTAGAAAAATCCTGCCACAAGCTCAGCATGTGGTAATGTTCCGGGTTTTCTTTCATCTGTTGCCCTATGCATGGGAAACATTTTGATAAAGAAATCCTCCCTCAGCCATTTTAAACTAAGTGTAAGAAAAACTGCTGTCCAAACTAAGATTTAGGCTCCAATATTCAGAGATGATCCTCAGAAACAGATTTTCTAGGGATGGGTTTTTGCAAGCCGAGGGTACAGTCACCAGAAGATGACTCCTGACTGAATCACACTGCAGCAGGGAGGCACCTTGTGTGCTAAGGACAGAGCCTACCCCAGAGGTGAGCTGAGGCACAGGTCCCATCTCCTGGTAGAGCATTCTTCCCTGACCCACTGGAGAGATAGGCAACAAGAGACGGGGAGAACCAGCCACCCTGTATTCCCCAGAGCTGCAAATAGCTTCAGTTCTTTCCAAGCAGAGACTATTCCCTCCCCCTCTGCTGTGCTGCTCCAAGCTCCAGCTCAGTCTCCACGTGTTGCTCAACAAGACTGGGAGTAGCTGCCAGTGATCAGCTAATTCCCACCTCGGGACAATAAATCCCAGACCAGAGGTGTCCAGGTGCCTGTTTTCGAGCATGTATGCATCATCTGTGCTGAGAGGAGCCATTGGGTGGCACTGCTTCGCTGTGAGAAAATGTTTACGGGTGCAAGGTCCTGCAGTCCATGACATCACCCAGCAACACAACCAAATACAACGCAAAAAGAAAGGTGCAAGGCCCAAAAGCCCAAAGTTCTCTTTTTGACAATATATTTTTATTTAGCTAAGTAATAGTGAAAGTATAAAGTTCCAGCATTTCAGCAAAGTGAATATTTTAACCCCAGGGCTCGTTTAATTGGTTTGCAAACTCCAGACCAGATAATCTCCTGATGAAAACAAATACTTGCAGAGCTTTGTCCACCAACAAAGCTTTTGAGTGTTGGCATTTTTTAAATCAATCACTTCACAATATATTTAATTCTGTTTCTAGTTGGAAAGCAGATCTCAAGAACAGCCTGTGCATGTATGTATATGAACAGCACTACATATGCTGCTGTGGGAATTTTGCTTTCATAGCTTTTCAGATCTAGTCTCTGGGGTTTTATTTCTGAGACCATGTATGCAACTTGAAAGTCACATGGACACTTCTCAATGTCTCCTCTACAGGAGAGAGAAGGAACATCTGTGGGGAGATTTAGAAGTGCTTAAGATTCACCTAAGGCTGACAACATATTCTTCAAGGCATGACTTTTTCAAAACATCCAGCAGCAGCCTTGATCTTTCCCCACCACTGAGCAGGCAGATGCTTTTGAAAATTATATCTACAAAACATCCTGGAAAGCAGCTGGGCATGCACCTCGGTCCATCAGTCAGCCAGTGCCTCCCCTGCTCAACACACAGGGGGAATGTGCATTGTTAAGGGAGACACATTGAGTGTCTATGACCCTGCAGAGCTGTCTAGAGTTATGGCTCCCCAGAGCTGAGACCTTTTGCTGCACAAAATACTGCACGTTAATCCACACGGTGCTTCACACCATGGCTCTGTGCCACCAGGGAAGAGCACAGCTCACTACCAGCCACTTCCTTCATGCCCTGTCATGTCTCCAGGAGGGCTATTGACACATCATGCCTGAAGGATCAGAAGTCAGTAGG